GTCACACCCATGACCTCTGGTCCCAGGGTATGTTCAGTCCCTGCTGCCCTCCCCCATCTCCCCAGCCCACAGGCCTAGGTGCCTAAATATTTGACCAACGAGGAACTGCACAGAGGAGCGACAGCCCCACCCAAGGTCTCTGTCCCCCTGTTCGACAGGGAAGGCGGTGAGCCACCCACCCAGGCAGAAGCTCCAGCCCTGGTAAAACCCTGCCTGACCCTGCCTCAGACCCTGCGTGTCCCCCAAGTGTCCCCATCTCTGCTCAACTTCTCTGTCCTCATCAAGGGGCTGATCAGGTGGTTTCAGTGTCAGTGACTAACCAGTGGCCCTTGGGTGGTCCTGGCGTGACCCCAAAAGCAGGTACGCTCTAGACAGTTACTTGTCTGGGGGAGGCGGTGCCACCCACCCAACTGGCTAAGGTGCCAGTGAGGCCTAATTAACCCCTTACCGTGAGGGCAGAGCCACTCTGGGACACGGAGCAGCTTGCTGAGGCCACCAGGGACACCACCCTCGGAAATGACGCCTGCCCTGTTCACAGAGGAGCCGGCCAGAACAAGGACCTGGATCCCCTGAGGCTCCCCATTGCCTAAGTCAACTGGGCCATCCGCCCTTCATCTCCTCCGCCCCCGCGGCCTCGCCCACCGCCCACGCGGCCCCACCTGCCAGGATGCCTGGATGCCAGCTGAGGCACCAGGGCAGCTCCGGCCTGGCTTCTTGGGGAGAAAGTGGACTGTGGGACAGGGCAGGCCTAGCCCCCCATCCCACTGAGCCAGGAGACCAGGACATAAAGACCAACCCGAGGCTTTGACTCCTTCATTTACTGCACTTGTGCCCCGAGTTCCTGGCTGGTCCTGTGCCTGCGCTCGCACACGGGCACTGGCACGCCGCCCTGCTCCTGGGGCTGCTGCCCACGCGCCCTCTAGTTCACAGGTTCATCTGGTGTGGCCAGCCCCCGCAGGCCTCATTCGGACCCTGGATCCTGGGCCCTGGGCCCGGTCCTGCCCCCCTGCGTCCAGCGCGGGCAGGTGGAGAGGCTGCTGCCGGTTGCTGCTTGCGCAGTGCTGCGTTCAAGGCCCCCTGGCCTGGGTTCCCCCGGATTGAAGCGCGCTCAGGCCACGGGCCTTGGCTTGCTCCCATGGGCTCGGTCCCGGGGGTGGTGCGTTTCGCTGGCGTGTCCTGCAGCATGGCCTATCGGGGACGCCCTGGAGGCGCTGTTGGCTCCGTGGGCGGCGTGGGGGGCGTCGCGGGCAGGGGACTTGGGCGGGCTGGGGGGCTTGAGAGCGCTGACCGCTCGGATGAGGCCCATGCGGCGGCGGATGGAGTGGTCCAGGTTGACCGTGCAGCGCAGCAGGCTCTGAGCCTCGGCCACAGTGAAGGGGAAGTCGGCCCCCAGGAAGCGCTCGAAAAGCTCGGGGTCGCCGTCCAGGTCGAGCACATTCTGCAACGCCTTGGTCATGGTGTGCAGCTCACGGCTGTTGTCGCGGAACACGTCCCAGAGGCGCGCGCGGCCCTCGGGCGCGCCCCCGGCCTGCTGCCGGTCCTCCAGGCACTGCAGCGCCCAGCTGAGGCGGCAGGGCCACTGGTTGGCGAGCACCACCCAAGCCACCGCCTGGCGCGGCGTGGGGCCCCCCAGGTCACCCTGCTGCTGCTGCAGCAGGCGCACGGTGATGGGCACGGTGTTGACGATGCGCCGCATGGACACCACGTTGTCGGGCACGTACTCGTAGAGGCAGTCGCGCTCGTCGTGCAGGCAAAAGAGCGCCTCCTGGATGCTGCGCGCCGCCTCGGCGTCCACGCGGCCCTGCGCGTGCTCGGGCCCCGCCTGCGTCTCCACCGCCAGCAGCTGCGCAACCTCGCCGCCCCCGCCCCCGTCCCCGCCCGCCAGCGGCCGCGGTTTGCCCGTGATCTCGCGGTAGAGCAGGTCGTCGCGGCTCTGCACGGCGTCGTGCAGGAACTGCAGCTTGGTGCGGGGGCCCATGATGGGCACGGAGAAGGGCAGCGTGACGGTGCGGTTGAGGAAGAGGTAGCCGTTGTCCGCCGTCCCCTTCATGTTGCCGGCGCTCTCGAGGCACGCGGCCAGGATGCTGGGGTCCACGACCAGGATGAAGATGAAGGGCGCGTGGCTGTCGGACAGCAGCGTGTTGATGGCGTTGAGCACGCCCACCACGCGCTCGGGGTAGCACGTGTCCAGCCCGGTGACCTCGAGCACGACGCGCAGCCGGCGCCGCTGGTAGATCTCCAGGAAGCACAGGAAGTCGGTGAGCAGCTCCACCTCCTTCTTCACCTCGCACATGAAGCCCAGCTGGCTGCCGAACTTCTCGCGCGACACCAGCCGCTCGATCTTCTTGCGCTGGCTCACGAACAGGTGCTTGCACACCGAGTACACGGCCATGAGCAGCCCCGAGCCCGACAGCGTGGTGGCCGCGCCGCCGAACACCTTGAGCAGGCTGCCGCCCGCGCCGCCGCCGTGGCCGTGCTCGCGGCCGCCCAGCGACAGGTACAGCAGGCCCACGCCCAGGGCCAGCACCGCCACGAGCGCCAGCAGCCCCAGGCACACGCGGCGCCGGCAGTGCCACTCGCGCTCGCAGCAGCCCGGCGTCGTGATCGGCTTGTTGCCCACCACCGAGTACACGCTGAAGGGCAGCGCGCCGTAGTGGTGGCGGATGCCCTCGCACAGCGTGGTCACCAGCCCGGCCCACAGCTTGTCGGTGCCCGCGTACTGCCAGGCGCTGAAGCGGATGAAGAGGAACTGCACGTTCTTGCGCCGCAGGTGCACCTCGGTGATGATCGGCTGCAGGAACACCAGGTACCACAGCAGGCGCGGCACGCTCCAGCCGCGCACGGGCCGCGGCCGCCAGGGCACGTGCTGCAGCTCCGCCGTCTCGCGCTGCGCCGCCTCCTGCTGCATCAGCGCTGTGGGGGAGGGCGGGACGTGAGCGGCCGAGGGCCCCCGACTGCCCCTGGAGAGACCCCGGGCACTAAGCAGAGAACGGGAGACCCGGCCGGAGGCGGCCTGGACTTCAGAAAGTGCGACTGGACGGCCCTAAAGAGCTGGGCGCTCTAAGGGCGAGGCTGGGGGTCAGGAGTGGTAGAGCCCTCAGAGGAGACAGGATGGGGCGGGGCAAGAAGGGACACGGAAATGCCAGGACTGGGCAAGGGGCTGGAGGCAGATCCAGCGGTCCCGAGTTAGAGGGGGGAAGGCTGGGGGGCTGCGGGGTGGTCCTAAGGAATGAATGAGAGACACTGAGGAAGTGCGATTTCCCTGCCTTGCTGCTCCTCCTCCAGGGAGCCCTCCCTGATCCTCAGGCTGGGTCAAGGGCCCTTAGCTCTTCTCACTCTGGGTCATCACTGTCTGAGGTCGAGTCTGTCACCCCTGCTGGACTGTGAGCCCCAGGGGGGCAGGGCCCTGATTGTCTTGATCACTGCTGTGTGCCCTGGGCACTGGGGGAATGTGTGAAGGACAGGTCATGAGAAGTCGGGGGCAGGATCTGTCTCTGAGCGCAGGGAGTGACTAAGTCACCCAGCACAGAGCAGGACCTCCCCATGATGCTGTCTCTTTTTTCCTTATATCCTAATCTCTTCCCGGGAACCTGTTTGTTCCTCTGTGACAACACAGGGGCAGGACGTGGACTCGTTTAGCAGGTGCTCAGGAATGAAAGGCTGTTGGGCCTGCACCAGGGCTGGGCACAAGGAGGACAGTCACCCCCGGCCCCTGTGGCCACACTTCGGGCTGAGGTCTGAGCTCCAGCAGGGTGAACGAGGTCAAAGCGGCCGCGGAGCCAGGCTGGGCTTTAGGTCATGTCTTCAGTTAACATCTGTCTGTCAGGTGTCTGGTGAGGGCCCAGCACAGGCCCAGGCTGCGGAGAAGAGGTGGGTCGGGGGACACAGAGGCCAGGGGGGCTTGGCAGGAGCCTGCGGCCTCAGTGAGGACCCGGGGCTCTCTCCCTCGGGTGCTGGGGAGCACGGAAGGCTCTGAGCAGGGGAGGGACAGGATCACGTGTGTATTTCAGAAAAGTTCCTGGGAGGGGATTTGGTGGTGGGGACCTGGAGGGAGGTGGGGCAGGAGCCGGGGGCAGAGGTGTGGCCACGGGAGGGCCTGGGCTGGGGCCGGGGCGAGGGGATCTGGGGACGGCTGGAGCTGGGTAGGGACCAGAGGCTCCGTTTCTCATCCTCCCCGATCCCCCGCCCCTAACACACACGCGTCCTCACCGGTGATCTTGTCCAGCATCATGTGCAGGCGGCAGCCGAAGGGGGCATAGAAACCCACAGTCACAGGGACGGGCACGTGGCAGAGCGTCTTCGCCAGGCAGCTGCAGTAGACGTCATCCTCTGTCAGGATGCCTGGAAGTTGGGGGTGGGGAAACTGAGTCAGCGAAGCTGGCCGGGCACTGCCCTCCTCCCGTCTGCCCCTCACAGCCCTCCCTGCGCCAGCATCCCCTCCCTGACCCCCGGAAGTGACTCAGGTCAAACCCTGCAACGGAGGTTTCTGTGGCCCCCAGCAGCCTCCACTGCCAGGGCCACATCTGTCCCTTTGGAGCCTACGGGAGGATCTAGCCGTGGACCCGCCAGGCTGAGGCTGGGAGGCTGGACACTCCCCAGCCGCAGATCAGACGCTTGTGGGAAGTTGGCTGTCCTGGCCCTGGATCACCAGGCTGGCTGGGCCACCAACCTGTGGTCCCCTCCAGGAAAATCCCAAGGGCCTTTCTTGGGACACGAGGCCCTCGGGTGCTAAGACACCGCTGTCCACCCTCACAGTCCCCGCTCCGCTCCTGCCTGCTCTGCTAGCCTGGCACCAGCGTGGGGGCCCCTCTCAGCTTCCCACCCACCCTCACCTGACCTCCCTCCCTCACCGCGCCCTCACGCCCGCAAGTCACCAATCCCACCGCAGCACAGGCTTGGGACAGAGGTGCGCAGACCCGAGTTCCAGTCTCAGCCCCACCACCTTTCTCTGCAGGACCTGGGGAGACGCCTCTGCAAGGCTCAGCGCTCTCAAGAGCGGGGCGGCACAGACGCTAGGGCGCAGGGGTGCCAAAGGGTCTGGCCAGTGCTGGGCTCTGGGCTAACGCTACTGTCTCGAGTGGCCACTCAGGGCCCTGGGCGCCATGCGTAAGCACCGCAACGTCCCCTCTGTAGGGGGCAGACAGCAGGTCCGCTTCTTGGACCTGCAATTAGGGTGCCAAAAAGGGAGGATTCGCGCATGGGGGCGCTGGGCCAGCCTCAGGGTGCAGCCCACTTTCGGAGAGACCTGGTGGGCTGCAGGAAACAGGCCACGCCTGGCGGCAGAGCCCAGAAGGCAGGTGGAAGCAGCTGGACGGGTCGGCTGAGGTGACGGGCAGATCGCAGGGTGACCTCACCTCACCGGCCTCTATTTCCCTGAGTGTGCAATGGGCATCATGGCCCTGAGGCTCCAGTGACAAGGTTGTGACAGACCTAGAGCTGGTCCCTGTTGCTCTACTTTCAAACCAGACCTAGAAATCAGCCACATGTCCCCACCTCTGCTGCACATGAGCCTGGCCAGGCTGCCAGCACCTCTCGCCTGGACTCCTGCCTCCTTGCTGTCCCTGGAACTTGCCACCTTAGTCTTTGCATTTCATGATCCTGCTGCGCTGTCTCTGCTCAAATGTCGCATGAGGCCTGGCCCGATGACCCTGTTCAATCTGCAAACTGTGACACACCCCATCGCCTCTCCCTGCTTTATTGTCCCCCACTGTGGCTGTCACTGGGTGGCACTTTTCAGCTTTCTTATTTATCTTGTGTCCCCCAACTGCCCCTACCCCCAGCAGAATGTGAGCTCCGTGGAGACGGCTCTCTGCCGGGCCTGCTCCTGCCTCACCCCCAGAATAGTGCCTGGCACACACGTGGCTGTTCAGTCTCTAGTTACAGAATGAATGAATGAATGAATGAATGAGCGAGTGAGGGGGTCACTCCAACACGGAACTGTCCTCTCTGCTCCCCAGGCTGCTCCCTTCCTCTTGTTGCAGCTTCAAGCTTGGTCTGTCTCCCTGACGCCAGAGCTGGCCAGCAAGCTGGTGCCACCACCCCCCTCCCACGTCCCCTGTGGCCTGCCGGGCCAGGGCAGGGAGGGCTGGGAAGAGAGAAAGCAGAGCCGGGGTGTTGGCAGAGGGAGAGGGAGGCCCTTAAAGCCCAGCCCGGGGCAGAGGCATCGTGGACAGGCCTGGCCCGGAAGCTTTAGACCCTAACAGGTGAAGCAGGGGCAGCAGCATGAGACCCGGCGTTGGGGTGAGCGCCCCTCTCGGGCAGGGACCAAAGCGTGGGATGAGGGCAGGCCTGAGGTGCTAGCCAGGGAGCAGGAGGCCCAGGCGGGAAGCGAGGCGGCAGGAGCCGGGCACAGAGCCCTCAAGGGCTGGGTGAGCACCAGAGCTGTAGGTGAAGGAGCCGCAGGCCGCTGGGGCGGGCAGGGGCCGGGCATCAGTGGGCTCGCTGGGCTCCAGGAGGGCGCCGGCTGCAGAGGGCAGGGCTGGGCCGCCGCTGGCCATGACGGGTGCTGTGCTAGGCGAGGTGGTAGGCCTGGGGGCCGGCTGGGGGGCGCTGGCCGGTCCCCTGGGGGCACTGGTGGTAGCAGGCAGCCCCTTCTGGGCCCTGGGAGTGGCGCAGAGCTGCTGCCACCAGGGGCTGGGAGGTGGGAGCTGGGGCTGCCGCCGGTGCTGCAGGACAGGGGGCTGGGGGCCCTGGTGGCAGCTGCCACGTACCCCCTTGTGGCAGTGGTAGGCCTGCTGCCAGCGTGACTGGGGGGATGGCCGGCAGGGCCCGTGGACTCGCAGGGCCGCTGCGTCATGGCACCACTGATGACAGCATCCTGGAAGGAAGGAAGTGGGGGTGACTGGGCCTGGGTCCCTGACCTCTGGGGGCACCAGCAGGAGCCTGGCGGAGCCTTCAGGTGGAGCCTGGGCCAGAGCATTCTTGGGAACCTCAGAGGCCCCAGAGAAGTCAGAGACACCACGAGGAGGGGGATGTGAGGGGACCCAGGGTCTGTGCTCTCCCACGGGTGGGCGGAGGGAAGAGGCGCCCAAGGAAGGGGCTGGACAGAGGACGCCGCCTGAGGTCGGTCCTGGTGGGGTCCCCGGTGCGGGGTCGGGGCAGAGAAGAATCCACTGGGAGCTGGCCTGGTTGATCCAGGGGAGGCCGGAGTGATGGTGGTGGCCGTGGGGAGGGGATATGCCAGGGCCTGGGAAGGGGGCCTTGTCCCTGGGCTCGGGCCAGGGTGGCAGGAAGGCCCTGGCCAGGGAGGCTGGGCACCCGCCAGGCCCCGAGGAGGCTGAATCAGCCCTAATGGGAGGTAATTGCCCCCTCCCCACCCTGAGCACCTGCGGTCACCACCGGATGCTGAGCCCCCACCTCGCTGAGACACACGCAGCGTGGGGTCTCCCTCTCCTCACTCTGCCACATTGCTGCCCCCGAGGTCGGGGGTCCACTCCCACACTGGGGCAAGGGGCAGGCCAGGGGGGCCTCCCCTGCTTCCAGCTCCAGCCCTGGCTCCTACCTTTGGTCCCACCGAGGCTGTGGTCCCCCAGCCCCAGCCCCACTGTGCGGATGCCTCCGCGGGGAGTGCCGGTGGCTTTTCCCTCCTGGGGACAGCGGTTCTTCGCCCCCTCCCAGGCCTCTCTGCCTGCCATGCCTGTCCCCCAAAGTGAACCCTTACCTTTTTGCTGCCCCAACTCTGGGTCCAAGAAGTGGCAGTCCGTGGGGGTCTGGGCGCCCTTGGCGAAGTGGACATTGTAGCGCTTGTGCATGGCGGCCGGGCGGCTGGATGGCGGGGACCTGCTCCTGTGGCGGGAGGAAGAGGACAGGCTCAGCGACCAGCCCCCTCGGGCACCATCAGCAGAGCTGAGGCTGGGTCCCTGCCCTGCTCCAGGACAGTCTGGACAGGCGAGAGGCCTGGTCCCAGGTGTTCCTGGTCACCTGCCTCGGGGGAGCTTGTCAGGGTACAGTGTGGAGGGGGTCAGGATGGGGGAGGGATGGCCGAAGCAGCTGGAGGTGGCCAGGCGCTAATTTGGGGTTGGGTGGCTGGGTGCGTGGGGGCCCCCGGGAGTTCCCAAGCAGCCAGGACATTGGGGAGTGCTGAGCAGACGTGGGCCTGGGAACTGGGGGAGCCAGAGTGGCAGCTGAGTGACGCTAGGGGGCACTAAGGAGGGGTGCTGTGGGGGTGGGAGGCTGGTACGGCTTGAAGGGACACGGAACCAGTGAGATGAACTGGGACACAGCCAGGAATACGGGGTGATTGCGTGCTGAGTACACTTGGGGGGATGAACGAGGGCTATAATAGGGAGGACAGTTCTGGGGAAGCAATGAAACCGCAGTGGTCCGATGCGGGGAGAGGCTCAGCACACGGGGCGAGATGGGGTGTACCGGGTGTAAACCGAGAAGAGCCAGAAGCAGGACGGGGGAAGGATGCTGCAGGGGGCAGGGATGGGGAGTCCAAGGGGCAGAGGGAATTGGGGTGGTGAGGGTTGGGGACCCGCCCGCCACCCCCCCCAGCCCCAGGTCCCTGGTACCTGATGGTGGCCTTGCGGCCCCAGCTCCCTGCCCCGCCAGGCTGCCGCGCCAGCTCCGCCAGACCAGACTGTCAGTGCAGGTCCCAGCGGAGGGAGGCCCGGGCTGAGCCACCCGCCCGCCCGACCGGTTTGCCCGCCTGTCCCCGCCCCTTCCCCAGCACGCCCGCCCGCCTGGTGCTCTCTGCTCTCGAGGACTGAGGGGTGGCGATGGGCCCACAGTGCCGCCTGGGGCTCCGCGCACACGGCCACGGGGTCTGTCCGGCGGGCCCCTGGGTGCTTCTGTTGGGGGGCGGGGTGGGGCAGGGACGCTGGGACAGGGAGAAGAGTCCCGGCCGAGTGAGGAACACAGTCCGGGACTCAGATGCCAGCTCCTCCAGGTGTGTTACCTTGGGCAAGTGACTTCACCTCTCTGAGCCCAGCTTCCTCATTGCTGGGTGGCCGGCGCTGGCATCTGCCTCTCGCAGTCAGGCGGAACCAGTGGGAGTCCACTTAGCTCGGGCCTGGCACTCGGCAAGGCGCCGCTGACCCACTTGCCCGCTGCTGCTCTAGACGCTTCCCATAGGACGATGACAGCACACACGCCCCCTTTCTGCCCTGCCGCGACCCAGTGGGGCAGGCGTGATGCCCACTCCACAGATGAGGAAACTGAGGCCCAGAGACGTGAAGTCCCTCGCCTCAGGGCACACAGAGGCAGAGTGGGGATTTGAACGCTGGCAGCGGCTGCTGCCCCAGGCTCGCCGAGGCTCTGCCCCCTGCCTGCTGCGCAGGCGCCGAGTGCCTGTCCCCTTGCACAGGCCCCCTGAGAGGTGAGGGCCAGGTGGGGCTGGGTCGGAGGGGCATGAGGTGCCGCGACGCCCTCCCCCGCCCAGGCCTGGCTCCCTGTGCTGCCGGCGTGGTGGGGTACACAGTCGTGATGGGGGGGGCGACCACGGAACAGTATCCAGGATGAAGGGACACAGGACAAAAGGACCCACCTGGCCTACATGTTGCTCCTCTAAGGCTTCTGCCCAGTGGCCAAACACTGCCCCCGTGTGGCCGGAGCCATGCCCGCTGCCTTCCACCTGGGACAATTCTGCGTCTCCTCCACGGTCCTTCGATCCTCCCACAGCCCCCCGGGGCCCTCGGGGAGGCAGGGCTGGCGTGTCTGACCGTGGACCGAGCCCCCAGTGACCCTCCGTGCCAATCCCCGCTCCCCGCGCCGAGCATGCGGTGCAGCCGAGTAGCTTCCACTCACTCGGGAAACGTCTGCCCAGGGCTCCCAAATGCCAGGCTCTGGACTGGGCAGTGCCAGCACCTGGCGGAGAGGTCCAGAGGGACCCAAGAGGAGGTGTGTCCCAAGGTAACAACTAGACTCCTGAGGCAGGTCCAGGGCCGCCTGAGGGGCCAGGAGGTCGGTCAGCGGCGGCCGGGTGGCTGCAGGACACGGCAGGGGGCGCAGGAGCATGGGCAGTGGGCCAGGCAGGCACTGTGCGTGCAAAGGCAGACGCAGGTCCGGGGACGCGAGCTCAGCCGTCTGGGCTGGGAGACGGCAGCCCAAGGCAGGGCCAGGCGGGCTGTGCAGACCAGACTCCACCGAGGCGGAGACGCGCCCTTCTGCTAAGAGTGTTGTTACAAAGGGGACCCGTCCTCGTCCCCTGCGGGTCTTACCCCCAGCCTCGGTTTACAGCGCTGCAGCCGGGGTACTTACCCGCATCAGGCAGTGGTGGCGGAGCCCAAGCACAAGTCCAGGTGTGTGACAGCCCCAGATGTACAAATGCAGATGGGGGAGGTGGTGGCACAGTGAGAGCAGAAGGGACGGGCAGGACTCATTTGCCAGGCACGTGAAGCGTGTCTGCGGCGTGTTGGGGGTGGAGGGAAGAGGGGAGGGTGTCTGTCTCCCCAAGTCTGTGCTGAGCCCTGGCAGCCCCAGCCCGCCCCTGCCTGTCCTCTGCGTGCCCAGCCCTGCTCCCCAGGGCGAGGCTCCGTTCTGTGTGCCCTGCTGGGCAGGGGGCAGCCCCAGACTTGTTGACACAGCAGAGATGCTGAGACTGCCACCAGGGGCCACCCTCCCCCTGCCAGGTGTGCAGGGAGGGAGGTGACAAGCTCCAGGGCTCATACCAGGGCTGGGAGTGGACGGGGCCCAGAGGAGGAGGGTCTGAGGTTTGGGGGTGCTGCAGGGGGTACTTCCCTTCCCCCCAGCACCTGTGACAGTCACTCCTTAGACGCCCCCCTTTGAATCTGATTCCACACACAGAACCTTTATTGTCTCCTGTGACACCCCCCCCTTTGGTACTCACTTCTTGAGCCCGTGTGACTCTAGAGCCTGGTGTCCCCACCACCAGCCCCAAAGGCAGCAGCCCGGGGGCCCTGGACCAAGCCGTCTGCTGTCTCCTGGGGGGTGAGGGCCTGGGCAGCTGGGGGGCTCAGCTCGCAGGGCGCTGGGGCCCGGATTTCCGGACCACCACCTGGAACTTACCTGCAAGAGAAGGGCTGGCTTTAGCGTGAGGCTGGGGCCCGGGGAGAGGCAGAGGGCGCCCGGATGGCTCAGAGATGTTCATCCCACCCCGCGCTGACAGCCTGGGCTGGGCCTCAGTTTCCTCCCAGTTAAAGGGTGGTGTTCCCGCCCACCTGGCCTGCGTGGCCTGCGTCCCAGGGCTGTGTGAGTAACTAGGGACACGGAGGCCACGTGTGTGGGCCCGGGGAGGGGCCCAGCGCAGGCTCTTATGGCATGCATTGTGCAGTCCTGCCCACTGGGGCCCTGGGGCCCCCCCACCGAGTGGGCCTGGGGAACCCACAGAGGGAAGATGACTGGGGGTGGGAGGTGTTTCGGCTGCAGGCTCTGGGGCAGGCTGCCCCCAGGAGGAATGGGGCTCCAGCTTGTCTGATGGGACAGCCCACCAGGCAGGCTGCGAGTGCCACGCCACCTGGCTGTCTCAGCCCCCACCACAGCATCAACCAGGGTGACCTCTCTATGTCCACTGGGCTTCCCGCACTGGGAAGACATGTTAGAAGTCTCTGGAGTGTTCTCTTCTCAGGGACGGCACCCCCCCCCAAGGAAGCAGCCAGGGTTACAGATGGGCCTACACTAGCTGTGTGGCCTGAGCAGGTGACATAAGCTCTCTGGCCCCCAAGTCCCCGTCTGTAAAATGGGGCATGACAGTCTGGGCCTGCCTCCCTGGCACCCACGCAGGGCAGGGAGAGCTCTGGAGCCCCCAGCACACAAGGATGAGGAGAATCCGCCCCTCCCCGTGACTCACAGGCGGGCAGGGTTGCCACGGAGGAGGTGACCAAGCTCTGGAAGCCTAGCGTACGGAGGGTGCCTCGCAGGAGGCCGCAGGTGAAGGCCAGGAACTGGGGCAGGGGACACAGACCATTGTGGCAGGAGAGGGGCGGCCAGCACCCAGGGCCCAGGCCTGGGGCGAGGCCTCGCTGGGGGGTCGGTAGGCAGGGGAGGGAGTGTGGAGGAAGTGCCCCCACCCATACCTTGGGTGCGTCCTCCAGGTACTGCAGGCCCAAGGCTGTAGGGATGAGGAGAGGGACGCTGTTGTCCTGCAGGACGTAGGTCCCCTGGGCGCCCGGGAGAGGCCGGTCGGGGCTGGGCCTGTACATTTCGGGGGGAGGAGGGGAAGCCAGGACCCAGCAGCCCCACCCCACGGGGCTGGGGTCTGGGAGGACTCCTCCCTCAAGACCACTGTGGCCGCCCCTACTTCAGAGTTGGGGAACGGTCCGAGGCTTCCCCACTTGGGGTTGGTGCCCACCCGTGGTCCTGCCCCCTGGCTGCGTGGCTTCCCGGGAAACAGTCCCTGCCTCCCAGGGTTGCGGTGAGAACCTGGGGACCTGGCCCCTGGAGCAGCTGGGCACAGCGTGGGCTCCACAGGAGCTCAGGCCAGATGGAGACAAGCGGCATCCCGCGAGGTGGGGCACTGCCACCACCCGGGGCCTTCTGCCCGCATGGGGGCTCCGTGCTGGTGGCAGCAGCCCCTCTGTCCCACTGCAGCCGCCTGGCTTCCCTTAGAGGATTGGACAGAGAACCCGAGAAGGGCTGTGGCTGCCGACGGGAGACCTGGGTTCCTGCCACCCAGCAACAGGGGTTTCCCCACCTCGGCCCTCCCTGGTTTCAACCTCTGCCGCCAGTCAGGGGTGGCGAGGGACCGGGAGGGGCGTGGGGCGCACCCACCTGGTGGTTGGTGCACAGGCCGTCCATCTGCTTTTGGAACACGGCCACCCACAGGTCTTTGCACAGAACTTTAGGACATCCAGCTCCTCCCTGAAGGCCGGCGTGTCCCGGGGCAGCCTGGGGAGCAGGGGCGGACACTTGAGCCGGGCTGGTGCATGGAGCTGGGGCGGGGGGACGCCGTGGAATGAGGAAGAGGGAGGAGGCCGGGCAGCGCAAGCCGTCCCCGCCCCTGCCAGGCGAGGTGGGGGCAGGCGGGGGATGCTGGTCTCACCTGTCGCCCAGAGCCTGGCCCGCGCGGAAGCCTGTACCCTCCAGGACGGACAGGCTCCTCTTCTGTCCCTAGAAGGCCAGGAAGAGGCTCAGCTGGGAGCCTCTGCAAGGCAGCTGGAAGGGGACTCCAAGACAGACTTGCCTTTGCCTGTCAGTTCGGGGGTGAGGAGCCCCGGGGTGGGGGTGGGGGTCCTTCTGCACAGCCTGGGCAGGGCCAGGCCTCCAGGCACCCGCCTGCTCCCACACCCGCCTCTGCACAATTGGCGGGCTCCCCAGATGCCCACTGACCCCAGGCCTGGCTTCCCCTTGCTCCAGGAACATGGGGGTCGTCCCAGGCTCCCTTCCCCCTCCTGTCAACTCTTCTGAAAACATCCATTGAGCACTGCACGCGCCTTCAGTGTGATTCCTTCCAGCGCCCTATGAGGTGGGCACTGTGTGACCACCCAAGAGGCTCCAGGGGACCTGCCCAAGGGTCTGTGGTGAGAGAGCTGGCTGGGCCTCAGGAAGGGGGGTTTGGAAGTCAACTGTGACCATCGTGCCTTATAACACTGGCCAAGGTCCCTGGGAGGGGCACAGGGGGGCTTGGGGAGGGCAGGCCAGGGTCCACGGTAGGAGGGGCCCAGCTGGCACTGCGAGGCAGCAGGGCGGGGACAGCAGGAGGCTGCCCCTGGCATCTGTCCACGGATAGCGCAGTGGCAGGCGAGGAGGTTTGTGGATTCTTGTACTTGGGTGACCTGGAGTGAGCTGGGCAGGGGGAGGCCCAGACTGGGGGCACCCAGGTCAGCTCGTGGCATGAGGCGCTGTGCTCCTGAGAGAGCCCCGCAGACCAGAAGCGGGGGACAGGGAAGAGGCGGAGGTGGAGCCCGGGAGGGAGGAAACTCGCCTTCCCGCTGGCTCCTCTCAGGAGCTGCAGTCACTGGCCCAAGCCCCTCCCACCCCTTCCTCTCTGTCCCTCTGCCACCACCTGGCCACCATCTTCCCTCGGGAATGGCCACCGTGGTCTTCCCTCCAGGGCCGCGTGAGCAATGGAGCCATCTGAATGGCGGACGGGAATTTTCCACTCAGCTCCTGTCGTGGAGAGGGTGTCCCACCCCCTCGGCAGGCTTCATGCGGCCTCCCCAGCCCTGGCCACCCTCCACCACCAGGTCCTCTGCCTCCTGCAACACTGGCTGCCGGTGGCCAGCAGGGCTCAGGCTTCTGGGCCTTTCCACTCTCTGCTCCCTCTGCCGACTCCTGGAAGCCTTCCTTGCCTCCCTCCCAGGTCGGGTCCCCCACCCCAGCCCTGGCCACTCCGCGCTGTCACTGGTTGAGGACACAGCCCTGTGAGGGTGGCCCTCAGCAGCCAGCACAGGGCCTGGCACATGGATGGAAGGTGCGTCATCAACAGAGGCGACCAAAGTGGAGATTGAGGCTTTGAGCACGGAGTGAGTCTTCCCTTAATGTTGTCACGGCCACTTGAAGTGAGAGGCCGGGCCGTGAAACCAACGTGACCATAAGCTCATTGATATAAACAAGAGGGGAGCTCCTACCGCGTGTTTCCGGTCACAAAAACCTCACCGAACTTATGAATAAAGACCAAACCATTGGCCAGGCATGGTGGCTCACGCCCGCAATCCTAGCACTCTGGGAGGCCGAGGCGGGAGGATTGCTTGAGCTCAGGAGTTCGAGACCAGCC